ATCATTTTGTATCGCATTTTTAAGTATATTCTGCTTTGCGCTTGTCTGTAACAAAATTTAACTATTTCTAAAAGCCGCGAGGTGTGGCCCTTGGGAGGGGGCAAGCCAGACTTTGTGGGGGGTGAACAGTCTTGTAAAGGGTCACTGCCCCCCCACCCAATAAAGCATTTTTCCATATGTCTTAGAACTATCATTCTGCCTTTTATATACGGCAAAATCTGAGTGTGTTAATTTAGCTTATATATTTCTACGCTAAATTAGGCATTTGGAGGTAGTTTTTGATTGATTTCGAAAGTGTGGTAGGATTCTTTTGTCAAATTTTGAGGAAAACGAGATAGCATTTTTCCTTTTTTTTCTTCCTTTTTAACTTTTTAACCTAAGAAGTCTCATTATTTTGATAAGCCTTACCCCCCAAAAAAACGGATAGTTACATTTAATATAATACAAAAGTGTATTTGAAAAAAGTAATTACTGGCATATATTCAGCTATCGTGACTTATAAGAGAATTTATAAAAGTTCCTAAAAATGGGCCTAGATTTTATTTTTTATCATCATTATTACCATAGTTGTTGTTACTATTATTATTACCATTATCATGAGGTCGAGGGCTGTGGCGTGGGTGAGGTCAAGGGATCTTGATCAGGTATCATATTTTTCGGACACTAAATTACTTCTATTCGCTTTCCATAGGACAGAACCCTTGACCACCTGCGTCCCACTATTGCAATGGAATGATCGAATAAAGACATAGCCAGAAACCAAGAAAAGACTAGAAAAATAAAAGTGATAGTACTAATGATAATGATGGTAATTATCATCATAACAGTAATAAAGATAACGCTGATAATGGTAATAGTGATAACATGATGATGAGGATGATAATAATAAAGCACACTAGTCCACAGTTACCACTATAATGGTTAGTCTAGGCTTCGGTATAAAATGTCCATAAGTTCGTTAATAACTATTACATTTGTAATTCGGTTAAATTTTGCTAAACTATTAAATTGTAATTTTGATATATATGTGTATCAACGGTTGATACACTAGTCGATGCCGAAGTCGTAGTAAACAGTAGTACAAAACTATTTGTACAAAATCACATATGTAGTAATTATAGAGAAAAATCAGCAGTATTTGTTTCTTTCTTTCTTTTTCAGATAAAGAACGCGTCATTTGACAGTTCACATGCAATATTCAAATCTTCAGCATCACAGGTAAGAGTGTTTGACTACTCTGTGTTATGAATACTAATTTCCCTTCTTTTACACCGAAGTAATTTTGACGGTTCCTATAATATCAGGATAAGGGTCTGCAAGGAGAGATGTTGCCGTGAGGTCTCGCCCATTGGCTCACAGCAGATTGTATCGTATGAATTTGTTACCACTTCTTTTTTCTTTGGAGCCATAACTCTTTTATGATCCCCTCCTCAAAAAATATTTCTGGGAAAGCCTTTGGTCAGGACAGAGTATTGGGATAAATTCAAGTTATTCCATCTTTATTACTTCACTGAACTTTTTACTGACATTACAAAATATTCGTTTCCCTCACTATCCTAATACTTAGACGAATCTTCCTGAACATCATTGGCAATCAATATGCTTAATGGCATAGAATTCACAAGTGTGTCATTGTTATAATTATACACTTCAATGTGATAATGATCCCTGTATAATGATTACATGCTATCATTTTAAAGCATTACTTGATCATGTAATCCAAAGTGAAAGATACCAAGCTATACTGGCATTAGAGGGAATGAGCTTGCTGAAATTGGCAAAGATCTTTTAATGGGTAAATGGGAAAAGAAAATAATGTGCTAGGCATCAAAGGTCATACAACATTATTGTGAAAAGGGTAAAAAGTAGTGAACAGTTAGGATAAAATGTGTTACATATCATAGCTTGTAAAGCACTGTAGGCTAGTATGGTAATGAAAATGGTAAAGAGGGGAGAGCAAATGTAATATGGTGGGGATTAATAAAAGTGGAAGGGGTTAAGGGCATAGGACAATTAGATCAAATGGATAGTATCTATGTGTCTGAGGAAGCAAAAGAGCCATTTTATGGTGGTTGGAGAAGAACCCAGGGAATGAGGTAAGGGATCAGGGAAGGTGGTGAAGTATCAGGAAAAATGTCAGTAGGGGAAGGATCCAGAGGACACTGTTGTGCTTTGAGAGAAATAGCGTAGCTCTGTACTGTGACTGCATCATAGTCAACGAGATGGAAACAGTTCCAGTACAAGAATTAAGGGAGGAGTGAGGTTGGTCAGGAATAGATTTACCAGGGAGGGCAGTCAGGGTAGATAGTGCACGAGCTTGAGCATGAACGATCAGAATGACTGTGACTATTTGTTTTTGGAGATATTGTTGGAAGAGAGGGGTATTGTCACAAAGAATTGATCCCACTTGGCTATAAAGGGTACTTAAAAGGACGAGGGTGGTGTGGAGTGGGGAGGAGGACAAAAAGGATGAAGGGTATTATTATGAGAGGAGGGGGTAGACAATGAAGAAGACTGTGCAGATGGAGACAGAGTGGACGATGTTGGGAGAGAGGATGGGGTGTATTCTGAAGGTTGAGTAATAACCTGGGTGAATGACTCGGAATGGATAGAGTTGACAGCAAACATCGAGGAGTTGATATGAGTATCAGTGGTCGGAACCATGGTCAGAGGAGAGGCAGGGGTCGAGAAACCAGAGAAATCAATTTTAGATAGGTTGGTTAATGTCCCTAATAAGGGCAAGAAAAAAATCATTAGTGACTTTGACGAGCCTGAAATATATAGCCAAGAGAAACGGTATACCTTTCAGGGTCCACATAAAGGGTAAGGGCTAGGCGATTAACCAAGGGAAGACCGTACCCATGACTCCCAGAGTGCGTTCAGGACTAACACAATGCCAGTGTGTCATCCTTTCAGCATGGCTCTGACGCTGCAGGAATTGGACAGATGGGATGAAAAAGAGGGAAAAGGAAAGGGGGAGAAGAAAAGACCATGCAAAATTAGTTGAGGCATGGGCTGAGGTCCAAGGCTGGGGTGATCCCCTACAATGGGCATTAGTCTCCGTCTCTTTAGCCACTCCCACCCCTAAAACAATGGGTAAGAGATGAGGGGGGAGAGATCTTAACGCACAGAGCCATATCCATGGCTGCCCTGCAACTACACAAAGAGAAAGCAAGAACCTATGTGGCCAGATGATACTTAGTACCGCAGGCTAAGAGCCACTGGCACTCTACAACAATTACTAGAGATGCCGAAGTCTAGACTAGACTGCCTTTGTCCATGGCAAATTATTAACACCATTTAACGTGCTGATCGATGATGGGGAGAGCTAGAAACTACCCTGTAACACACGCTATCAAAGCACACACGCTATCAGAGAAAACCCTAATACTAAAGATTAATTTCAATTATAACACAATCATGATTGTAACAATTATTAATTGAGAATATACACATCTTGCGAATTCCATGCCTTCACACCTACTGAGTGCTTGAGATTTAGGGAGGTTAGACTAAATATTTACATAGTGGTGGCAAAGGGATCTTTTGTGATGGTTATACAGAATCAAAAATACATTGATGAAAAAAAAACAGCTTGGGATGATTTAATCTATCCCAATACTTATCTAATTTTAGTCTGTTTCAGTATAGTGTCCTATAAAGTTATATATACAGAGCTTCTAGATGTTCTTATGAGAATTGACGTAAGTGAAGATTATATTTCAACTTTTCTTTCTGCATAAAATAAACTATCACAGAAGGCCATAGAAACGGTTATTACCAATATGATCAATTATACTCATAAAACAGCAACCAAAAGACATGCATGCACACAGATATACTCATAAGCAATAAACACACACAGTGTGGTAGGATATTAGTAGGTAAGAATTCGATTGGCATCCCCGTGAAATTAGCAGAGAAACGTTCTAAGTACTCTAACCGGTGTTATGACACACTTGTTGCATAATATTTTGTTAAGTAATACATCAAATATAACCATAAAATATGTTCCATAGGTTGAAATATAAAAATTTTCAACTTGCCATAGTGTTTTTATATTTACAATTTTTATTTGTAATAATTTGTAATATTTTATTTGTTAAGTATTTTAATTTTTTGCTTTTATTTCCAGAATAGAGCAGAAGAACAAAATCGTATGAAATCACCGAAGCTTTTAGATAACCCTTAATTAAGAAGAAGTGAGAAAAAATCCACACAGGGCAGTGATTAATCTGAGGAGTGTGAAGCACCATTTTTTTCAACAAGGTGATTTTCTAAATGCTTATCTTTAACTTTTATGATTATTTTTCTGTTTTCCCCACTGAGTACTACAGTTGTTGAAAGATATTTTGGTATGGTAACTTACCAAGTGGCAACAACTACCTCGTAGTAAAAAGATTATTTATGAATGAATTGTGTTCAATGTGTCTGATTGGTGGGAGGTCATGGCTGATTTCCCTGTTGCTTTTCTTATCCTTCTAGTCTAGTGAATGGAAAGGAAATAATATCAATATCTATATGGTGTACATGAACAGATAAATGTTGAATTATTGCATGGATAATTGTTTTATACATATCGTCAATAGATAGGATAATTCCTTTACTAGCTGATAAATGAAATGTAATTATCTATACCGCCACTCCACTTTTCAAGAACATGTAAAAGTAGAAAAGCTGATATATAATTTCGATATTACATATTGATAATTTCAGTTTTGCCAGCTTTCGCTTTACTTGGTGAATGTCTCAAGTTCCTTTATAATCTTCTATAATCTTAATTCAGTTCCGAGAACTTGTAAACAACAGAAGGCCATAAAAATGAAAATATATATATAATGTATAATGATGCTGTATGCGAGAGTTTTCACTACTTATCTAACATGCGGCCTCTATAAACATGCTGGAAGTGTGAAAAAATATCCGTGGCAGTACCTTTAGTATTACAGTGATATATGTCCTTTTTTTAGTTACTAAACAAGCGTTTATCAAGGGGACCGTCACTATGACATTGTTTTAAGTCATGATAATAAAGAAAGAGAACGTTGGTTTAAAGTTCATTTCCCTGAATATAAACTGCCATCTACTAGTTACTGCACATTTGTGCATAGCAATTTAGTAGCAGCTTTTATTTTTCAAAAAATCAAATATAAGCCTTCGATTAGGAATCTGTTTTCGGCAGACTTTTTTCTAAGAATTTGTTACATTTTGCTATGAATCACTCCTGCCGAAAAATAACATTGGAGAAGACAAACTTTAAAGCAATATATTCATGCTACTCTATCTTTGAAAGAACAATTTTGAGATGAAATATACTTTTTTCAGTATCAAAGTGTTCTGTGTGACCATTATTTATCCCCTGGTATAAGCCCCAAGAAAAAAAAAAATCATAAAATTTGTGTAACCATTATTTATTCTGTGTGACCATTATTTATACCCTGGTATAAGCCCCAAGAAAAACAAATCATAAAATCTGAACTAAAAAATAACACTAAATAACTATATATGACGATTATCATATAAAAGTATTTTCACATCCCATGTGCGACAAAGTAACCTCAGAGTTAACTTTAACTTGTTTATAGCTTTATAGAAAACAAACACGTGTCGTCTGCATTCTCTGTCGAACTGTTTATTTTTCACGGTAAATGATAGTGACATCACTATATACAGATTGACAATATGAATAAAATATAATCCTGCCCAAATGGTTGAGAACTAAATAATGTGGTTAAACGAGAAACCAGAAAACAATCAAAATAATGGGCTTGAGTAAAATAGTACATAAAATGAAAGGCTAATCTTAATCACTATATTATCGAGTTACGTTTGTATAAAGAAAAAAGAGATATGTTTTAGGATTCACAGCACTCCAAACCACATTCTCTTTACCAGTGAGTTAGCATCAGTACATTGTAACGATCATCTAAGCTCACCGATTTTGAATGATAATCTTAATGTCTTTCTATGCACAGTCAATAGACTATATAATAAATGCTACCTTTAAAGAACAAAGTACATATCTGCCAAGAGGCTGTTAAATTCTTAAACTAACGCTTTATAGCATTTTAGTGTTTGTGTATTATTTTGCTGTGTAAATCATGCCAATTCTTCCTAAAAATACAGTAGAAAGTTACGTCGCTCGTCAACGAGCATAACAGCGCTAAACAACCAATATTCTATTCCAAAAAAAGTTTCGAAAGTCCGAGGCAGGTTTCAACTAGAAATTTACTTGAAATATTGCCTACGTCTTGCATATCATATTGCATATCTCATTACTTGTCTCTAGTGTATGCCTCCGACTTGCCTAGCACAGCACGTGCCTGCCGGCTTGCCTAGAACAGCGCATGCCATTTGGTAACTGTCCCATTGCCCAGTCAGGTTTGCCTTTACATAGTCAGCCTAGTTCCTGCCACGAACTGTAGATCAGGATTCAGATTTCACTGGATTTGGTTGGAATAGGGAAGGGGGAGGGTTCCGAAGTAGAAGTCAGGGAGAGCTTTCTTCAACAGTACCAAGGAGCAGATGCAATATATACAGATAGTACGAAATATGAAAATGGTGTGGGCTTTGCAGCAGTGAGCAGGAGGAAGATTGCAGTTGGTAGTCTTTCTTCGACAGCCTCGATCTTCACTGCAGAGTTGAATGCCATCCTTGCAGCAGTTAAGGTGACTAGAGATCTTCCGAACCATTTTATTGTAATATATTGCGACACTCGTAGTTCTTTGCAAGTATTCAAGAGCTTAGACTCATCACATCCATGGGTGAGGGAGGTTCGTGATTGGCTTGCACTGATGTCAGCATGTAAAAAGATTTTGGTATCAGTGGGAATGAAAGAGTTACTCGGAACGCCAGGGCAGCTGCCGCTCAGTCCTGTGGCACACGTTTTCCTCTTCCACACACCGCCTTAAAACCTAGCATCAGACATTGTCTTCGTAATAATTGGAGGGAGGAATGATTGATTACTTAAAATTATATGCCGCCTCTACAGCTAAGGTCATTAGCGGCGAACACCTTGTTAGATTGAAATGTTGAAATATTTAAAATGTAAAAAATCTATCAATAAATGTCTTATAGATAACAATAAATATTATAAATCAAAGCATAAACATTGTGCTCTAAATGTATAACATTTTTGCATAAACAATATGCAAATTAGATTTTATTGAAAACATTACTCTCCCTAAGAAAACTAATAAGTTGATAAGACCTATGTCACAATCCCCCCCAGTAAATTTTAAAGTGTATATGGGGGAGACAAGAACATACGTCTTTCCACTACATGTACGACCGTTAATGGCTCTTGGCATCCCTCACAACGTGCTTCACTTTTAGCCTATTTAATACAACTTCTACTTGTCATTTGGGATGGATGCTGGTCACTCAACTGCCAAAAGTCATCTCTAATCTCCCGCAGTTTGTTTGTAGAGGTATGCCTCCATAATTCTCTCCATTTATCATAAAGACTCTCGGAGTGGTCAGATGCATTCAATGTCTAGCCCTCCAACTAACAGGGGTAACCAAGAGGGCTGCGTGCCCATGGCACCGCCGCCGTACTAACCTAAGCTACGCCCATTGCGCTCATGACCTCCAGCCGTAACCTGGACCCGTACAAACACTCTTCCTCGAATCACGCTCCAGTTCGGACGCGGCCTTCTCCGGGGGTCACCCTCCAGGGCCCCTGCCTTGCGGCCCGGGGCTACTTCTGCACAAACCGGTCATTCTAACCACTGTCCAAGAATAAACTTGTGCAACCGGACCGTGAATTTCAGTTAACCAAACCCATGACATATTGGTGGACAGCCGTGACAAGTACCTCACAAAGACAGCTCCTGATGCTGGGATTCAAGTCAGTTTGTGGGAGAGGAACACAATCATCACAGGGCTTAGGGAGCAGTGGAGGCATACCTCTAGAAACTGCGAGAGATTAGAGATGACCTTGGCAGTTAGGTGACTAGCATCCTGTGATGGATGCTAGTCACCCAACTGCTAACAACCAGGTAACTGTGTTAACAAGACTAAGAATCGGGTGCACAAGACTGACTCATGGACCGCTGATGAAGCACTTTGTGAAGGATGCCAAGAGCCATTAACGGTCGCACATGTAGTGGAAAGATGTGCAACATTCTCAGACCAAAGAAGTATGTACTTGTCTCCCCCTAATACACTGAAAAAAAATGTATTTGAGGAGGATTGTGACATAGATGGTCTTCGTAGTTTCCTATAAAACTAAAATGTGCATAACATATATGCAATCATTTTATACATATAGAGCATAACATTTATGCTTTGATTTTTAATATAATATTTGTTATTCATATCTATTTATAAGACATTTATTAATAGTTTTTTAAGGTTTCAAATATTTGAGCATTTCAATCCAACAATGTACTTGCCACTTATGACCTTAGCTATGGACATGCTAATATCAACAATGAAGAGGTTAAGTGGCCTAGTGCCACTGAGATGCTTGCACAATGTGCAACAACCATTTTATCCACACAAACATAACTTGCTTAATAGCCTTCTTTGACAATGTCACGTCTTGAGTTTTTCAGGCAAGATAGGGAGAATGGTAAGGGAACATTCACCTCACATGAGTTTTTCATTTCTGGCTATGGGAGATATGGCCAAGCACCTCTCGACTTTTACCTAGAAGTACATGAGTTTATTTGTCAGTGGGCACGGGTCTACCCACAAATTCTAGATGATCCAGATGTCACCATTCAAAATCACCGTCATGGTTTTGAATGGTCTCTTATGGTGTCTCAATGTAAACAATAAAAGTAAGGTTCGTTTTGCCCAACCTGTTCCTCCTCAATTTGGATGTTATGTGGTTACAAAAAAAATCACTGAGAGGCTGCGAATCTAGTGGTTCACAATGGTGTCAGTTCTTCAGGATCAAGATGTATCTGTTTGGGTTGTTTATGACAGAACCCGACCCAACTTGCTTATTGTTCCCATGTATTTGATGCACAGCACAAAGACCCAGTCTGTTGATAATGCAGAGAGGTTAGGGCAGTATGTCAACCAGTGCTAATGGCAAATGTGGTAATAAGGAACTAGGTGATAACCGTTTTTGTTTATACCTCAAAAGAATATATGGATCCTACAAGTGACCAGTCCAATAGAATAGTACCCACTAACACTGAATTAGCATGTGCAAATGGAGTGTTGGAGGTGATCAAACAGATGCCTTCAGGGATTCAGGACTGGATCTAGGAGCAGTGCCCACCAACGATCATGGACCTCCTCCAGGGGTCTATTGCCTAATCCTGGTTGAATCAAGTTGTCTAGCATCCTTATCAAGGATGCTATATTATCAAGGGAGGACCTGAGACCCAACAAAGAACTGCTCATTGAACAAGGACAGGAGCTGAGAGTGGTGCTGGATAAGTATCCATCCCTTTTCCAGGAGGATGTGCCCTTGGGGAAAGTACCACATCAACAGTGGCTGACATGCCTGTTCATGTTTTCCAGTGGAGACTATTTAAGTCATCCAAATGTATTTTAAGGGAGGGACTTCAGAAGATGGTATTGCTGAACCTTCTTTGAGTTTCAACAGTCATATTAGTGAGGAAAAAGTTCGTTCGTTTGGACTATAAGGAGCTAAATATTAAAACCCAGCAGAATGCTTATCTTGGCTAAATAGTAAACTCAGCAGAATGCTTATCCTGGCTAAATAGAACGCTTATCCAATGCCTAAAATATATCCACTCCTTGACAATCTTGGTTCACTGCTTTAGATGCCAGATCAGCTTACTGGACAATTGAGGTACTTCCAGCAGATCGTCTGAAAACCCGCTTTCAGTGATGAGCATAGGCTTTTGCAGTTTACCAGGAAGCCTTTTGGCTTGGCAACTGCACCTTGAGTCTTTTAACAGGCTATTAACTTTATGCTCCTGTCCTTGGCAGACAAACCCTGATTAACTGGATAATGATGAGACTAAGTATACTTAGTAGGGATGGACTCCAGCTTAATAGTAGAGTGCATATTTGC